AAAATATTTAAAAGAAAAACGATTTTCATGAGAAGGAATCTGCATGTAACATTTCAGTCAAGCAATATCAGAGAAGATATGTGTAAGCATGGTCAACTGTCTTTCCACTGCAAAGGTCAAAGTCGGGTTTCTGGGGGTCACAGGGTCACGTACCTTATTTCCCCCAGAAATAGACCCCGCGTTAAGGGGGATGTAAATCCCCAGCCCTTGCCTCAATGGCCTAAGTAATGTCTGTTTTGGCTTTGACAAGCGAAGGGGTAATTGACGTACTTGTCAATTTGTCCAAAACGCTGCCTCGAGGTCCGTGGTCAGTTAGGGTCACCTGAACCTGGTCCGTTACTTTCTTGTCACAAGGTGTAGGACCATTTAGAATGCAAGTTTGGTTTCAATGGCAACCAATTGCTAAAGCCTTTTTTTGCGCTTACTTTCATTTTTATTGCCCATGTCCGCATTTTTGATTTTGTGAAACTGTTATGCTGCAAATGTCGACTCAAGGTCAAAATACGCCTGGAACGAAAGTATATGCTAGTCCAGACTAGTAAACACATTGTACACAAAAGTTTGATATATTTAAATCGCTGGATTGTCTCATCGAGACCCGGTTATTTACATACGGCCTTCAGACAGCTGGAATATTTCTCATTGCGACGTTAAACAAGAACAAACAGCAAATGCTGAAACGACCTATTGATGTGTCGCATCAACACCAAATTAACACCTTATCGAAGTCCAGTGAACAAAGTTTAGTCAGTTCTGTTTGTTAGTGACCCGTGAAGATTCCGGGGTAGAATAGGTCTTCTTTGGTTAGTTGTTGAACGCCGCCCGGGAACGATGTCACAACCAACACAGGTTAAATTTTACATACAATATGTGACAATACTAAAACCATGTTACTGTTCTTTGTCGTCGCTTAACAGTAAAAGGATAATGGAACCAAGTAAACAAACCAGTGATTGAATTATGAGTAGAGACCCAGGACATAAGGGTACGGTGGCACATGATCTGCTTGGTGACAGCTGTGACCACTTGATTCCCAATATAACTGTATCTGACAGAAATGTACTGAAAACATTCCAGCGGTCAGTTTTTAAGACATGGAGAGCGAAGAGTCTTTTCGTAAAAACTAAAACTAAGTGTGAATATTTTAAGTGTTTTGTTTATAAATGAAAACAAAGTCAAATTATGTTTTAAAGTCTCTTTGCTAAGAAACCGCATGTATAGAAATTTAGAAACATTGATATATGTTTCCATCAGATATGTACATGCCAATTAAATAACAACATTAAAAGAAAACCAAAAATGATATAAACTCAAACTGTACTATATTTAATTATTTTCTTCTGACAAACTACAAGACCAGGGGATCGGAAACTGTATCAAGTCGTGTTGGACGATAATATGAAATGGATCATATGTTTAAAATATGAAAACCCAACATAATTTTATTGAAATCATTTAGAATTCTCAGAAATTGGTATATCCAGATAGCTGATATTTTGGTAGGATGTGCTGTTGCAGTGGAATTTGATTCAGATTTTTGATGAGGTTTAGATTAAAAATGAAGCATTTATTCATAAAATTGAAACCAAATATGTCGGGCTCCAATGACATCCATTCTCACTGCTTTATCAAGGTTGCGATAGGTGCCCATTGGCATGTTCCACATCCTTTTAGCTCGCTTAGATAGCTTTAAGGAGTAACTACGTCTGGTCTTATCAAAGAATGTCAACAGATACTTTCTACCAGTGCACTTAGAACCAGAAAATTAATAAATTATCACTTCCGGTTTGACACAGAACATTTAATTGGAATGGAAAACTACAAAGCCCCACAGTTCTAGTTCGGTTTGTAACAAACTTATTAGTACTTCATGTTTTTGCATTATGTCACTTATGGTTTCAGAAAACACGTCCTTATTATAAACTTGAATGACCCATGGTTGGATCTCGTTGTGCAACAAAGCTTTTAAGTGTTTGAATTGTCTAACTTCCGGTTTAAGAATTCTTTTTCACTGCTTTAAAACCTAAAATTTGTAGCCACCTGGTTCTATCTCAGTTTATAAAATTAGTTATTGGCACATCTAGTTTGGATTATGTCCTTTGTTGTTTCAGGAAACAGATGCTGACTATATTAGAACTTCAAAGGAGAAAGTATGACAGCTGTGGCTTACTTTGTAACTTTGATATTTGTACTTACGGTTTGGATTATACCACTTCCGGTATTGAAATAAAGGCTGCCTGCCTAACACTCTTCAACTGAAAGACCTGTAACTTTAGCTCAATTTATTGCAAAGCCTATATTTCTGGATATATGAACCTCACATCAAAAGAACCCATTCCACGGTCAAGAACATTGAAAAGAATGTGGATTGTCACATTGTCACTCTCGCTTTAACAGAAAAACCCCCACCAATTTACATTAATGGAATAAAAAAAAATGACAATGCTTTAAAGCATTAGATGATGCATTAGAGGATGCTTTATTTCTGATTGACAAATATCTCTTGGAAAAAACCCCGACAATTTCTATCACCAACTGCCGAGTTAATGCGATCTGTCGTTTCTTTATTGTTAGTAGTCTCCTTTTCCTCACATTTCTTTTTAAAATCTCGTTTCGCCTCTCAATAACTTCCAGGTTTGTTTATCGTATTTTTTCGAAGAATATGTAATCGATGAATATTTAATTCGTTTTTTGACTGAACCTTCCTCATCAAACCACCCTGGTTGTTTATTTGCAGCCTTTAAATTAGTCGGCGTCTTTTCCATGTCCGCACTAATGATCTGAAATATAGTAGACAGTTTGTCAGCAGCCTCGTTTACATTTACGAGAAAATCAAGAAAGCTGTCAATTATTGCTTTTGCTGGGGGAGAAGAGATATTGTCTATATTGAACTTATATCCATCCTCGGACCACACATATCTGGGAACTTTCATTGGAATTAATGGTTCCTGGACAGACGGTGACGGCGGCTGACTAATAGAATGTAACAATTGACAGAAAACGGGCACGTTGTCAGACTGCGTTCTGCTGTGTACATATAAATCTTTGATAGCATTACAATTGTTTCTAGATACAAGAAAATAGTCTATAAAACTAGTCCCATATGGACATATGTACGTAAAACAGCCTTCCAAGTCACCCGGTTTCTTTCCATTCACAATATGAATTCCCCGTTGTTTACATATATTTAAAAAAATGACAAACCAAACTTATTTATTTTCTCATCTTGTGATTTCCTTCCTTCACAGAACATATCTGTTTCATACATCTCTCCTAGATCCAGCAATTCAACATCACTTTCATTCTCTAAAATGAAATCCTCCTGGGATGCAGTTCGTGCGTTAAGGACCCATGTAGAACCATGTCAATGTCTGTGCCATGCAAGACTTAGTACAAGCTATCACAGTCTCCAATTGATCAATTCCGTCGTCTCCCGACAGATTGCGGTATAGCAGGGACCCTTCCGGAAGCACATACAGTCCACCCAGACTGACAGGTTTCACGTCAGACTCAAGCCTCACAAACACACAGTTATCCCAGTCACTGTGGATTTGTTTAACTGCCGTGTGCTTGCACGTCGCTATATAAGTGCAATAGTCTTGGACGCGACGTTAAACCCCATTTCACCTCACCTCTTGCCTGAATGCCTTACCCCAAACTTTTACATAGATGTTATCGAAGAGGAACTCCAGCATTTCATCTCTTCACATCTCATCATCGAACCCGTCAGATTTACGTACGTCAAAATTGTCACCAAAAACATCCGATATGAAACGTACGTACTTCCTCTATTCGGCACGCCGGTACCTCACATAATTAATGCGGTAATACCGAATACAGCCATCTTTTATGGATCGATATGTTTTTGGTTGAAAAGTTTTAATATTTAGCCTGTCAGTATCAAGCACACTTCAATGTCATAGTAGAATAAATATTAATAAATTATTAACAGAACTGTTACAATACGGCTCTTGCCTTTTAGACTTGGAGCGCTAACTAGTATTTTAAATAAAGTTAAGGTGAGTTGAAATGTGGTTATAAGTCGCGTCCAAAAGTATTGCACTTATAGAGCGACGTGTGTGCATGCACGTGTGTGTGTGTGTGTGTGTGTGTGTGTGTGTGTGTGTGTGTGTGTGTGTGTGTGTGTGTGTGTGTGTGTGTAACAACGATTACCATCTTTTAACATTTTTGGGTATGACTTTTTATTATGAATATTCAAGTAATTCGCTGTGTTTCTTTTGGGCATCTGCTGCACTTCAACCTCAGCTTTTGTTGACGATGTTGCTTGTGACAATGACATTGTTTAAAGATAATTTCACTGATATCATATGACCTCTCACATCAAAACGTATAATTACTATGAATGTACCCAGATAAGAGAGCAACAGTCTGGCTTAACCGTGCACATGCGAGCACCCAAGGATATGATATTGCCAATATAAAACGGATGAAAGCGACAAACATGTTTGCTAAGGGACAATGTCAATAATTGGAGTAGATACACTGTATATTTGTCTGCAAATTACAATTTTCAGACAAATTTCTGATGTTTTCAAGTTTGACTTTTAGGATTTGGATTTTATGTTATGATTTTTCAAATTATAAAAAAATATATTTTCTAAAAAGCAGAGTGCATCAATCCCTGTATAACTATCAAAGGATGGAAGTCTTAGATGCTTTCATTATAACCGTTGATAATATGTCATTGAAACTTCTTTTCTTCTTTTCCAGTCATTATGGCAACGGTCATCGGAATTCTCATAATGGTTGCAGTAAGGATCTCAAAGGTCAACACTCACGTCTGTACTTTCCATGACCAATTAGGCAAACTGTTTGTTGACTGTAGAGGAAGACAACTCCTGCATGTTCCTGACGACCTTCCACGGAATATTACCTCTCTTGACCTCAGTGACAATCAGATTACAGTTGTGAGAAATTTGACATTTCAAAACTGTGGCTGTCTTAAGTACATAAACCTGAACAATAACTCACTTATCACTATGGAGCCTGATGCCCTGGTGGGGGCATTCAGTCTGACCACTCTGCTTCTTGCAAGCAACAAACTGTCGCACAACAACAACTCCTTACCCGAAGGACTTTTCCGTGACCTTGGAAATTTGCATACAATCAATCTTGAGAAGAACAAGATGAAAGCATATCCAGATTTGGTGTTAGCTCCCCTCACCAAGCTCCACAGCCTGTACATTGACCCCGTTCCAGATGCTGTCTTTGGGTCTGGATTCTCCAAACTGACAAATCTCAAAGTTCTCAAGATGGATGGTGGTCATTGTTCTTTAGAAAAAATAACAAATGAAACATTTCAAAGTTTAAATGAAACAAAACTTGAGATACTACTTCTTAATCACTGTCATCATTTAACATTTTGTGAGACTGGTGTTCTTGAGCCTTTGTCCTTCCTAAAACATCTGGAACTAACCAACAATGAAATTGGCATCCAAAATGTTTTACATCTTCTTTATCCTCTCGTTGGAAGGAACATGACAAGAATATGGTTGAACAACACATATATAACCCGAGCTCACTTCAAGGAAGATGTGGATGATCGTATCCTAACAGAATACAGCACACGCTTTTTGACTCAGATATGTGTTTCGGAGTTGTCCTTGAAAGGTAACCGGATATGTTTAATTGAAACAGGTTCTTTATACAAATCCCCCATTCGTGAATGTTTGGAAGTGGTCGATTTTTCAACAAACCGCCTGATTGGAGATGCATTGTTTGTGTTATTTTTTGCAGCGTTCTCAAGACTGAGACACCTTGACTTAAGTCATCAACATCATACATATGATAGAGTTGAGAGCATATGGGAAGAAGCAGAAGGGAGAAAAAAGGGTAACCTCACACTGATGCTTCCCCCAAAACTTCAATATTACGATGCAACAAATACATTTATGTTGTCAGTAACATATGATGAAATCACATTTACAAACACCGAACATCTTGACACATTGCTTTTTGGATACAACCAACAACATGATCGTGCTCGTGTAAAGGGGTTGGAAAATGTAAGTCATGTTGACCTATCTGGAAACAAACTTGGCAATGTTACTGAAGAATTTTTTAAGTCATTTTCAAACGTCAAAACGTTATCTTTGAAACATTGCAACTTACAATTTGCCAACGATGTGCTAAGAGCTCGGAATATATTTGGTGCTCTTAAATTAGTGGAATATTTGGATCTTTCGTTGAATGGCCTACAATTATTCCCATTCATCCTAAATCAAAATAGAATCATTCATCTTAATCTTTCGCAAAACAAATTTGATACTATTCCCATTGTGACAACTACTTTTCCACGTCTCACGCTTCTGAACATGTCATATAATATGATAGGACATTTGGATAAGTATACACAATCTGACTTGGATTCTTCGGCTGAAAGAAACCGTCTGAAAGTCATAGTTAAGGGCAACACTTTTTCTTGTGGCTGTGAAAATCTGGACTTTATCCTGTGGTTGATGGACTCACCAGTAATCTATGAGTCTGACAGGAATTTCCCTTGTATTCAGGACAATGGACAAATAACAAGAACTGTTGAGGTTGTCAGGAATTACATGAGCATCTACCGTCACTGTACTGGTATATGGATGTTCACTCTCACAGTCCCATGTTTGACTGTCTTCCTGACGTCTATTGTAACTATATACCTTATCTCCAAGAACCCAACAAGATTCAAAAACATTCTCATGGGAATACTTTGGTTTGGGGTCAAGTATCTTACTCGAAAAGACTTTTCTTTCACACTCTACATTGGATATTGTGAAGCTGATATTCCTTTTGTTTATCGGAAAATTCGGCCTGCATTAGAGCTTTGTAATCACCCTGTGCGTCTCTTCTTAAAAGATCGTGAAGTACTTCCGGGTCATGACATTGCTGACGGAATTATAGAAGGTATTAACAAAAGTTGGAAGACTGTTCTTGTTGTATCACATGATTTCCTTGAAGACCCCTCTGCCTGGTCACATTTCACCATCAATGCAGCAATATACTCCATGAATGCCCTCATTCCTAACCGGATATTGATCTTACTGGTGGGTGACATTGAAGCAGGGGACCTTCCCCAGTGTCTGTTGAACATGGTTGAGGAGGAATTTATAATACACGTGGACGAGTACCCTGAAGATCAGACAGCGTTGTGGAAACATCTGAGAGAGATTGCAAATTTGAAACAATAATGGCTTAATAAGTGGTATGATAATCGGTAACTAGGCTGGTTAAAAGTGATGCAATGACTTTTTTCATTCGTGTTACCATATACTGATCTTGATCTCTGAAGGTATTTTCTATAGTACCTTACGTCCAGGATGCCTGTTGTGAACCACTTCCGGGGATTCATCTTGGAGTGGATGTACATTATATACAGGTATTTTCTGTATGAAAATTCTGTATGTCACATCCCAGAACCGTCTATTGTATTCGTCTCCAGATGTTTAGGAAGCTTTTTATGAACCACTGCAAGGGATTAATTCTGAAGTGGATATATATTACGTGCATGTTGTACAAAGAATCAGTGCAGTGTTTTGTAAGTGAATATGTTGTGTTTTGCTGAAGTAAACATGTGTTTTATTCACATTAAATTAATCACGGTTTCACATATTCCTTCACAACCCAAACTATAGTAAAACATATTTATATCATATGATTTGAACTGTAACCAATGCATGTCTACAATTGTAAGTCCCCAGAAAACTATGTATGGAGAACGAGGCGATTGAATGGATTAGGTGGTCAGACTCGGTTGATTGATATGAATATATTTTCAGTCAGCGCTTCAAGATTTACTATGTTTTCGTTGAAATGACAACATGAGTTTGTGAATGAATATTGTTTACATATGGCTAATTACTTTGTGTAATTAAGACACAAAGTCATCTAGTTCACTCCTTACAACAAGCTGACATTAGTTAACTATTATGACAGTGGCGTTGGGGTAGCCTAGCGATTACAGCGTTTGCTTATCCTTTGGGTTCGATTTTGCTGAAGTAAATATATCTTTTATTCACATTAAAATAATCACGGTTATACATATTCTTTCACAACCCAAACTATAGTAAAACATAATTTGAACTGTAACTAATGAATGTCTACGATGGCAAGTCACCAGATACTATTCATGATGAAGCTTGGCCAATCTGACCAATGACAAGATACTTATTTGTTTTCAAACATTATCGGGAAGATATTAATTTTGTCTCTATTTGATCATGATATGTGAAAATAATATTAGATGTCATCGCCAGAGAATAACCAATTATCAGCTGAAACAGATTTCTTGTTGGTTGTGGCGTGTTTGATTTGATTATTGAGGATATTGGGGATTTTATGTCATCGCTAAGACGCTTTTGTTAAATCTAAATGGTGTGATCATGATCATCATAACGTAACTCAAATCGCATGAGTTCGTGAGTGAATATTGTTTTACATATGGCTAATTATTTTGTGTAGTTAAGACACAAAGTCATCTAGTTCCCTCCTAACAACAAGCTGACATTAGTTAACTATTATGACAGTGGCGTTGGGGTAGCCTAGCGATTACAGCGTGTGCTTATCCTTTGGGTTCGATTCCCCACAAACATACAATATCCATTTCTGGTGTTCCACGATGAGATATTTCTGGAATAGTGCTATAATCAGCTTAAACCCACAATCGCTCACTCTTATGACCAGATTGAGATTATAGTGTCCTTCGATGCCGCGGAATCCCCACAAGGGCGCTTGCCAGATTGGAAAGGAGGAAAGAAATTAATTGTTCGCCTGTTTCTAAGCTCAGGGCAATATTTAACGACCGCTTCATCCACTTTCCGTCAAATGATCGTTGTGTCACAATCTGTGTCTCGAAACAGCGTCAAACTCTACATGTACTCAACTTGACAATGAATGTATGCTGAGTTTTTAGATGCTAGTGTGGTGTGTAAAGTTCCGGTCCGTGTACCGCGGACTGTGAGAAAATGTTATTGAAACATATGGAAATGTTTGTAATGTTCTATGTTTGGAACCTTCCAGTGGCTGGGTAGGTTTTGGGCCGTGGCGTGTTTGCGGGACACACACGATCGCGATTTTCATCACGCTTTCGTGTGAGGATCGCTCATCATCCCCGATTCCCTGCCTAGCCAATCTCGGAAGCTTGATGACTGTCGCCGCTTGGTGAATATATATATTACAATCACTGACTTTTGCCATCATCACTGTATTTTTGTATTTGATACTGACCACTGCCATCATATTATTAATTGCCATTATATTGAATATTAAACCACCACTCTATTGTTTACTGCCATTATAATTGCTGGTCAGTAATGTGTGCTGATTTGTAAACTTTTTTTGTAATAATTTTGTAATACATTTGTTGATTTTATACCACTTGTTGGTTGTTTGTTGGTTTCACACAGTTCTTTTGCGTGTAGATTTCTGGATTAACATATTGTTTCAATTTAGGAATCGACACGTAACAGAGGAAAAACATTACATTCATTCATTCATTCTATTTGGTAGAGTTTTAGGATATAATTTATTCAACGACATATGATATATATAACATATCCCGTACACATCTTGCTCTCTGTCTCGTTTAAAGTTGTGCATATAACATATCCTCTCTTTCTTGTCTAAATGGTAAATATACCACAGCTGACAATATCATCCTTTGTGTGGTTCTGAATGATGTGTAAAGAACATATCCGTTACATATCCCCGTCGATCCCCCCTCGTCACGGTGCTTACCTTACGAGTACGCAGCCTATGCTGAAGTAACGCCTCACCCACAAAGGAAACGACTCGTTATTGTCAAGAAGTGGATTTACGAGGGTTCGCACTTGTGATGTGGAGAATAACATAAATAGATATAGCGATTGCATTGCGGCTCATTGACTCAAGGCTGCAAGTGACTCTGCAAGTGGACTCACACAGCGTTAGCAACAGTGATAGTAACCTATCAGTTCTATTACACCACTGATCTGACCTAAATACACAGAGGGTATGAAAACAAACATAAGAAAATTAATGCCACGACGCCAGTCTAACACGCTTTCTAGAACATGAGCTCAAATTACCTGTTACATAACCAGCGTCTGTCTTCGCAGGACAGTGACACCGAAGCTGTGACTCGACTTGTCAGAATAGCTCAGAGTAGACTCAGCAGTAATCTTTTATAGGTAAGCTCGGACGTCAAAGTAGGCACAGAAAATCCAGTGATTGACATCATGCATCATTGCATCTACGCAAATGATATACGAAGACATGCATCAACCAAGTCAGCGAGTCTGACCACCTTATCCTGTTTGTCGCCTCTTACGACAAGCATAGTCGCCGTATGATAAACGTAAGGTAATACAATTGTTTTTGGTTTGGTTTGTTGTTTAACGCCGCACTCAGCAATATTCCAACTATATGACGGCGGTCTGTAAATAGTCGAGTCCGGACCAGACAGTCCAGTGATTGACATTATGAGCATCGATCCTCGCAATTGGGATCGATGACATGCATCAACCATGTCAGAGAGCCTGACCACCCGATCCCTTTACTTGCTAAACCAGCAGAGATATTGGGTACCATGAAAAATGAGAATGGATAAAATGTGAAAATATGAGCTTCTATGATTATTCCTGCATTAGTACAAAATAGTATTGATGTTGAATCTGGGGCTCTTCTATGGCCTTCCTTCCTACACGACGTGTGATGCTCATTGTCGGTGTCATGCAATTGGTGGCGTAAACTCAGTGACTATTGAGGACATATCAGGGGATCTACCTGACAATGGGTGAGTGACTGTGGTTTTACGCCGCTTTTAGCAATATTCCAGGAATATCACGGCAGGGGACACCATAAATAGGCTTCACACATTGTACCCACGTCGGACATCGAACCCGGGTGTTCGGCGTGACGAGCGAACGCTTTAACCACTAGGCTGCCCGACCGCCCCGCCTGACAATGGACAGACCATTGTTGGTACCAGAGTTTAGAGGAAGGAGGAGTCAGTTGGTGATCACTAGTTAACATGCAAGTGCCAGGATCATTTTACGTATGACAGTCGTGTGTATTTGTTTTTTTATAACCCAAGTGACTTGCCTAGGGAGACCTGTGATTCAGCGTGGAGGAACGAAGCACAAGACACTCTTAAGGAGACAAGTTGAAAACGGCCACTCATCCAACTACTGTCCGCCGTCAGCGTCACTTAACTTCACCGAATTTGTGACCTTTGCAGTGACATTAACCAATCGGTTAGGTAGGACAACGTATTGCTATTTATATATGCATGCATGTAGAGGCCATTAAAGATCACTGCTCGGACCAGGTTATTCATGTTCACTTGTTTACTGGGGGGCACGGGTGGCACAGTCGTCTAAAGCGCTGCGATTCGCTGTGCAGAGTTGCGTCCCTTGGGCACGCCAGAAACCTATGATTGTGGGTTCGAACCCCTGTTCACCCCGATTATGTTTCTAGCTCAACACCATACCCGTGCCCGTGGGTTTCACCGAGGTGGTAAACGTCTGAGACCTGCATCACTTCGGGCTTTCCTCCCACATAAAGCTGACACGCCGTGATATAACTGGAATACTGTTAAAAGCGGCGTTAAAACCCAACTCACTCACTCACTTGTTTACTGGGTCTGTTAGATACTTTTCTGAAAGATAATGTAACCAGGTAGTCTAGTTAGTGACATCAACGCCAGTACAAATACCATATATTAGGTCCCGGGTGAGGATTCCGTGCGAGAAGGCACCCACACATCTATCAATACATGCACATGCGATATCCGACCCGTGAAGATCCGGGATAGAATAGGTCTTCAACAACCCATACTTTCCATTCATCATGGAGGTAGAGGAATACGCCGAGTAGACACCAGTACACTGACATGCAGTATCCCTACCCCAGAGGTGTTCGAGGTATCATTGAGGTAGAGGAATACGCCGAGTAGACACCAGTACACTGACATGCAGTATCCCTACCCCAGAGGTGTTCGAGGTATCATGGAGGTAGAGGAATACGCCGAGTAGACACCAGTACACTGACATGCAGTATCCCTACCCAAGAGGTGTTCGAGGTATCATGGAGGTAGAGGAATACGTCGAGTAGACACCAGTACACTGGCATGCAGTATCCCCACCCCAGTGGTGTTCGAGGTATCATTGAGGTAGGGGAATACGCCGAGTAGACACCAGTACACTGACATGCAGTATCAACACCCCAGTGGTGTTCGAGGTATCATGGAGGTAGAGGAAT